GGGGGAGAGAGAGAAAAACAAAACATGTAAATTTCAAAATGAGTAAAATCCATTTGTCCCACCTTTACAACAGGCCTGTGAAATAAAGTCGACGAAACATGGGTCACCTACCCTGCATATCGAGTTTTTACGAGGAAGGCTACAGGCCTGTACATCTTTATTTTGGAATAGGTCCGGCTCAACTCAAAGGGAGACTTCAGAATAAAAAATGCATGTAACTGTTTCATTCCTCGCACCCAAGCTCAGCACTGTTTAATCCTTTCGGCTTCGAAATTCCCCGCCCACGACTTCTCCCTCCCTCTTTTGTACTACTGTACTGTACATTCCTTCCCTTCTACCCTCCCCATCCTTTCCTTCTCTTTATTCCCTCTTTCGTAAGCGGTTGCTAGGTTACCTTTCCCCGGCGGCCGGCTCGTGGGCGCGGAATGATGACGTCGACGGCCGAACTGAGCGGCTCTTGTCGCCCTAAAGCCTGATAGGAAACCCCCCGCACGTTGGCCTAAGCAGGGTGAGTGCGGCGCCCTTTCGGCTTTTGCAAGGGGGCGGGGCGTTCGACTTAGCGAGGGAAAGGTCTCTCCTATGCAGACCTCTCTAATGGGCAGGGGCCAGAGAAATCAGATGGGGTCTCCTCGGGATACCACCGCTGGGCGTTACGTTTTCCATCCTTTCACTGAATTTTGAGGCACGGCTCGGGCGCTGAATCACGTCCGCATACCAGAGATCATCTCTGTAATAAATGACAGAACGATCAAAGCGAGCGAGCATGTGCAGAGGGCATTCGTTTCCTTGGGGAGTTATCCATCTGAGTGTATAGAAGACCGGCACCTTTCTTTTTTTTTTCTTTTTTTTGGAATTCGCCGATGCATGGGGTTGGTAGCCAACACCACCCGGCTCAAGGAGACCCGAGAAATGTTCTGTAGAGGGAGGCTGTGCTATTCCTGTCCAGCCACCCACTCGGTTTCAGGTCACGTAGTCGGAAACTGGTGTCGTATGTTTGTATTTGTATGTTTCTGAAGTGAGCTGTCATTGGCGCCTGTCATGGTGGAGACAGGGATGAGATCCGCCTCTTAATTTACAAAGGAATGTGCCACGTCATAGGAGGCCTGGCGTGGGTGCTTTTATAAATGCTTTTTTATAACTTACTTTGAAAAACTGTCAACCGTAATTTTATGTATTCATTATATTTTTCTACCACCTGATAGTGAACAGGCACTCTCTGAGTGGTGTACAAACATCAATTCTAGGATAACATATTATAAACGACAGCAACAAAATCAGCAATCATTTAGAAGTTGGGAGTAACAATTTAAAAGTACTCTAGTTATTTCTGACTAGTTTTTTAGGTGACGTGTAATGCACTTTGGTAGTTATAAAATTATGTTTTAATTGAAAAACATGCTATATTATATTCATCACCACAGTTACCGTATGTTTCTTATGTTGCCAGTGGATAGAAGGATCTTGCTTCTTCTTTTCTTGCTCAGACCTTGCAAAAGATGTACTTCCCCTGCAGCATGTAACCAGAATGAGAGAGATCTCCCATATACAGTATATAAGATGGATGGATAGAAGGATGGATATTTTATATATAAAATTTCCATAGGAAAAGGAATCAAGGAGAGATCTCTGTTCGATAGGCCCGCTTTCTGGTCTTCTCTTTCCCGGCTTCCCTTGGGTCAATGTTCTCAACCACCTGACCTGGGAAGATCAAGTAGGTTTTATTGATCATCTGTACCCCAACCTTTGGATCCTGCTCCTCATTGGATTTGAGGTGCTAACTTAGCCAATCAGAAGCCAGAAGAAAATATCAGTTTTATGCCCTGATGTTTCTTTGACCTGTGAGTAACCAGTGCAGGGCAGCCAGAATGGGGTAGATATGATAGTATTTATTTACTCAATAATGATATTTATTTACTCCACTCAATAATCCAGCTACCATATTCTGCACCTGCTAAAGTTTCTGTAGCAGCATCGTGGGCAGCCCCATGTAGGGACAGTAGTCTAATCTCAAGACTACCATTGCATGAACCAGTGTGGTGAGGGACCCGGTGTCAAGGTAGAGACACAGCTGGGCAATCCGCCTCAGGTGGAAAAAGGCAGAACAGACCGCAGACGCCACTTGGGACTCCATTGATAGTGCTAGGTCCAGAAGTACGCCCAGACTGCAAACCTCATCCTTACCGGAGAGAGTACTCTGCCAAAAGGAGCAGGAGGCCCCCAAACCTCAGACACTAGGAGCATCCACCCGCAGGAGTTCTGTCTTGTCCAGAGAGATAGAGCTGGGTGGCATCTGCATATTGATGACACGAAGCTCCAAAGGTCCAGATGACGTCTCCCAGCAGCCTCATATAGATATTGAACAACAACGGAGAGATGATGGATAAGGGCTCACATCTCACCTGTGTCACAAATATGTTTGGAGGGAATGAGGACCCTTTTCAGTTGGTGTCTTCATGCTCTTGAATGGCCTCCTTTAGGGGTCTCATTGAGACCCTTTTCAGCTGGCCTTTCATTAACAGACTTGCTTCACTGTGTCTTCAGATGACTGGATTGTTGGATTTTTGTTGTCCTTCTCTTTCATGTGTTGCCTGATTGTTGCAAAAGTATTCCTTCTGTTGTCAGGCCTCTGCTGTGTTTGTTTATTTGGGGATTTTAATGTTATGATGTCTTAGACATCATGTATGAAAGGGCAGGATACAAATCATCCTAATAAACAGATTCTTTTTAGACAGCCCTTGTTTGCTTATCTGCTGTAGTGCCTGAAGGATGTTGGAGGGACCATCATGGGCCACGCCTTATGTATCTGCTCAAAGGGGACCATCACCATCAACAACAAACGTTACCTTTTAATCCATAGACTTGGAGAGGGGTGAGTATAAGATATGTGAGGACTGGGTTTTTGCATATGTCATTTTATGCATTAATCACTTCTGTTGTTTGAAAGGATAGTGGTAAAAAATGCATAATCTGGAGTTTATTTAGTCCGGAGATTGTCAGCCTTTGATCCGCCAGTTCTTTTGGCTGTCTACTAGAAATCTTTGCTATCATCACCAGTGGTAAGAGATTCTGGAAGCTTAAGTCCCAAACTAGGAGGGCTGAAAGTCCTGTGCACCTTAAGATTTCCAGTCTTCTTCATACTTTACATGGTATCAGCCCCTTTCATCTTAACTTCTGTGTAAAAATATGTAAGCTTGAGCTACAAACCCTTCTACAGATGGTGAAACCAGAACTGTCCTGGAAACCTCAGCTGTAGTGCCTGAAGGATGTTGGAGGGACCATCATGGGCCACGCCTTATGTATCTGTTCAAAGGGGACCATCACCATCAACAACAAACGTTACCTTTTAATCCATAGACTTGGAGAGGGGTGAGTATAAGATATGTGAGGACTGGGTTTTTGCACATGTCATTTTATGCATTAATCACTTCTGTTGTTTGAAAGGATAGTGGTAAACAATGCATAATCTGGAGTTTATTTAGTCCGGAGATTGTCAGCCTTTGATCCGCCAGTTGTTTTGACTGTCTACTACAGTGGTAAGAGATCCTGGAAGCTTAAGTCCCAAACAAGGAGGGCTGAAAGTCCTAGCCACCTTAAGATTTTCAGTCCTCTTCATACTTTAGGTGGTATCAACCCCTTTCATCTTAACTTCTGTGTAAAAATATGTAAGCTTGAGCTACAAACCCTTCTACAGATGGTGAAACCAGAACTGTCCTGGAAACCTCATTCAGTCGCCCAGTCATTTGTTATAGTTGGAAAGTTTAGTCCTGATCTGTAACCAAAGCCGGTATAGCTGCAACTTGAACTTGCTGCTTGTCTTCTCTCTTTCTCCTCTTTAAGTTGTTCTCTTAGTCATCTAAAACATCCTGAACTATTAGGCTTGTCAGACCAACCATGTTTCTAACTTAGTGTTTTGTATCAGGTGGTAACAAACTCCTAATGTTTCAGAAGAAACTTCAGGAAAGTTAAGTACCCAGGGTGATTTGTCTTTTTTATTGTCTTTTAATTAGGAATATTTTTAGTGTCTAATTCAGGTCTCTAGTCACTGATAAGTATATTTAGATGCTGTACTTTTTGTAGTATAGAAGTTAAATTGTTGGACAAAAAGAGACTTGGGTTTTAGTCCTTATTGAGCTATGAAGTTCACTGGGTAACCTTGGGCCAGTCGTGCTTTTTGATCCTGATCTGCCTCAGAGGATTCTTGTGATGGTAAAAAGGAGCAAAAAGAGCAGAATTTGCCACCATGATCCCATCAGAAAGATAGTGAAATATCCCTATAACCAATTAATAAAATACTCATCAGAGTTTTGACAAGTGCCAGGGAAGAGGCAAAAGTATATCTTCATGCCACAATTCTTGAGTTGCCCCTCTGAGAACTGGAAGGAACAAGGATGAGAAACAAAATTTCTTCAAGTTGCCCTCTTCTCCTAGGTTCCTTTTGTTCCTCTGAGAATGGAATGTTCTTCCTGGCATCTTGCTGCTTCCTGTGCCACCGCCACCCTTACAGAACATGCACAGGAATGGTTAAGGAGGTAACCTCAAGCAGGTGGTTTGCAAGCCTAGTTATGGATGGAAGCTGAAGGTTTTGTGTACAGGCAGCAAGAGAGGAGAGAAACATTCTCAGGATAGTTTTTGGTTTACCGTATTGAGAAGGACCTGATAGAGAGCTGGGAAGAAAACATCCTGGTTTCTAACTGATTTCATCCAGGATGGGGAAGATGCATTTTATGGGCCTCATGTGGCCATTTTTGTAGCCCCCTGCCCCCAAATGTGCTTGTTAAAATGTCTTTGAAAATGCTGGTCAGCAACTAGGACACTGGTTCTTAACCTTGGGTTACTCGGGAGTTTTGGACTGCAATTCCCAAGAAGCCTTCACCACTAGCTGTGCTGACTGGGGTTTCTGCGAGTTGCAGTCTGAGTAACAAAGGTTAAGAACCACTGAACTAGGAGATTGAGCCACAACTAGAAGTACAGTATTCCTAATGCTTTGAGAATAAAGAGGGCAGATCATCCCAGATCCTGAACTTTCCTGCAGTTTCTTCTGAAGAATCAAGTGTTTGTGACCACCAGATTAAAGACTATGAGTAATACATACCGTTGGTCTGACGGCCTAATCATTCAGGATATTTTAGATGACATAAAGAGAGGGGAAAGGTCAGTTTACCAGACTTTCTGAAAGAAGAGAAGCAGTCTTCAGAATGCTCTCTTGTGCGCTCTAGGCTGGGCATGGAGTTAAATTTGCTATGTTTTGAAGGGGCTTAGCACCCCCTATAACCCTCGATACCTCCCAATTTTATGTATTTATTTTAAAGGATGCAAGGAACTTTTTCAGTTAAAACACCCGATTTTTTTTGTTAAATCCTTTTTCATTTAATAGAAGGTAATAGCAAACTTTATAGATTGTAATCCCTGTAGTTTTTTAAAAGATAAAAAAATAATAAATTATATACATTTGATTCTTTGGGAATACAGGCCCCGTCATGCCTCTAGATCTGAGAAATGGCTCTTTGGCACAGTACCTGCAAATCTGAAACATGATCACTTACTCCCGGTTTTCATCAAAATATTGCTCTACTTTATGAAGTGCCTATTCTTGATATACCTTCTCCCCACAGTGGCTTTAGCTATGTGGACCTAGTAGAGGGGCTTCATGATGGGCGCTTCTATGCCTTGAAACGCATCATGTGCCATGACAAGGATGATCGCCAGGAGGCCATGCATGAGATAGAGATGCACCAGCTCTTTGAGCATCCCAACATCCTGCCACTTTGTGCACATGCAATGGTGGAGAAGGGATCCAAACATGAGGCCTGGCTCCTGTTGCCCTTCCTCAAGGTGAGTGCCCGAGAGGCTGGCAGCATCAGGTCTGGGACCTGTTACCTACATGTAAGATACAGGTGGCAGTGCAGTGCATGCTGGGAAAAATAGCATTTGTGGATGCATCTTACATGGTTGGGAGCAGCACAATATAAATGGATCACAGAGAGTGGGCTTTTCCCACGGTGAGGTAATTCTCAGTTCCTCTCCAGAATGAGCACAGAATGCTTCTATGTCTAGAAAACGTGGAACCCTTCTTTTGCACAGCTATGACGGGTCCAGTATTTTTCTGTTTATTCTGAGTTTTTGTTTGTTTGTTTCATTTGGCCCACTCAAGTAGCTCACAAGTTAAAAATTTATACAGAAACAGAATTAAAAACCATACCCAACCAAAACATCAGTCTCCGAAGCAGGAGGAATGAACAGATCACCTGAGAGGCTTCGTGAGAAATAAAACTGTTTTAGAAGAATATTAAAAAGTCCACAAGATACTCAGCAGTCTAGGTGCTGTAACTGAAAAGCCTGTGCCAGGCCACAGATATCATATATCAACAGGGCCTCTAGCATTAGGCCTCAGAGGAAAAACACAGAGGACTGCTGGTGTGACAAAAGGTAGTCTTTTCAAGGTCTGTATAGCAATGGGCAGATCTTCTGCTTTCAACAGACGTTGCAGTTTGCACAGCCAGTCAAAAGGGTGCAAAAGCACTCCTGTCTCCAGTCACCAGCTGTGCAAAAACTCAGTTGTGCACCTGGCCCTTCAAGGGAAGCAGTACTCTGTATGCCTAAGCAGATATCTACTTTCTTATTCACCAGAGGCATCTTTCTTGTGTGGATTAAATCTCAGTGTGTTAGCATTCTGGCACCATGGCTGCAATTTTTTGTTGGTCCAGTATCTCAAATGGAAAGAAGAAATAAAATTGGGTATCATTAGCATTGTAGAAGGTCCCGAATCCCCACATGAACTATCCAAGCAGTTTCAGGTAAATATGAAATAGAATAGGGGACAATGTGAACCCTGAATGCTAAAATCAAGCTTGCACTCTCACTAGAATCTAAAATGACGACACTGAAGTTGTACTTTCGACATATGAGAAAAACAATGCTCACTGGAAATATAGTGGAAAAAGTTGAAGGCAATAGGAAAAGAGGAAGACCGAATTGGAGATGGAATGACTCAGTAAAGGAAGCCATGGCCTTTCATTTGCACAACCTGGACAAGACAGTTAACAACAGGATCTTTGGGAGATCATTAATTTTAGAGATTATCATAGGTTGAAAGCAATTTGCAGACACATTACAACGAACAGACATATTTTAATCAAATGTGCATGTGAAATCAGTTCAGATTGTCTGATAATTATTCCTTGTCCACAAGTTGAAAGCAAAAGATGCCATTACTCTAACTATTCAGTTGTACTACTGTACCTCTCTTACAATTCCACTGTGTTTACATTTCATATTATGTTACAATGTTCCACAATAGTCATCTAAACACTGCAACAGCGTGAAAAAGGACATTCAAAGCTGTGCTCCTTGTTAAGCAAGAATAGTGATTCACATGTAATGAGACTCTATCTTGAGGTAATCTTTGGTGTGATGGGGGCGGGGGGGGGGACTTCAGCTTTCCCAATGCTGATGAACTACTAACCCTATCATACTTCATCATACCTCTGGCCAGAGCTGATGATCACCAGAGTATCATATGTTCCTCAGCCTACTTCACTTGCTTCTTCCTGGCCAGGGATAGTGACACATGTTGGACAGCAACTCCCATAACCCTTCTCTCTTGACAGTGCAGTTGAGGCCTGCTGGAAGTTACTGTCTGAAGTCATACATAGCAGTGATCCCCAACCTTGGGCCTCCAGGTGTTCTTGGACTACAACTTCCAGAAGCCTTCACCACCACCTCTCCTGGCCAGGATTTCTGGGAGTTGAAGTCCAAGAACATCTGGAGGCCCAAGACTGGGGACCACTAATATATTAGGGTTACATGGTCCCCCACTCTTGTTCTGGATGATGCTGGGAGGGGAAGAGAAATGATGACAGATGCCGTGCTTTTGAGCCTCTGCATTTGGACGATTTGAACACTATTTGGACTTATGCCTACGACACTAAATCAGCCAGAGGCTCTAATACCCCTTAATAGGCATTGTGATTTCACCCAGTAATTTAAAGAAGAATATGTGTGATCTGAGTCACCAAGTTCCCTGGCCTTTATTTGCAGAGAGGGACCCTGTGGCAGGAGGTTGAAGCTCTGAGAGATAAAAGCATCTTCATGCCTGAAGAACGGATCCTTGCCATTCTACATGGTATTTGTCGGGGCTTACAGACCATTCACAAGAAGGGCTATGCGCACAGGTGAGAGCTGAGTCTAAAAAGTGTGTATTATTCAGCATAACATACATGAAGTAGACCATACCGTATGTTAGGAAGAGGCCCAGTAGCAGACCTAAGATAGGCTAGTGGGTGTAGTATGTCGAGGGAGCATTGATAGGGCATAGGGAACTTCACTGAAGCTTTGGATAGATGAGAGAATTAGGAAAATGAAGTTTTTGAAGGAAGGAGAACTGTGTTGCCATGGCAATATTATCTATCAATATGGAGATCAGGCTTGGACCATCAAGAGATAATGATTTCTGATCAGCAGCAAAGCTTGACTGGGCCCATGCCTGTAATCAAATTGAAGAGCTTCCATACTTTTTATTTCAGAGACCTGAAGCCTACAAATGTGCTGCTAGATGATGACGACCAACCCTTATTGATGGATCTGGGCTCTATGAATCAAGCACGCATTGTGGTACAAAGTTCTCGGGAAGCCCTCAGGGTGCAGGTAAGAGGGAGGCCTGGAGAGACAGAAGTGGGGGAATAACTCTTCCAGTGAAGACAACATTTCTAAATCAGGTTATTAGGCACAGGACTAGGGGCTTTTCCAAACTCCCCCACTCATTTAATATCAGAGAGACTGAATGTTAAAGCAAAAGCTGATCTCATTTGTGCATACAAAATGATCATGATGATGCCATGCAGTCTTTTGTTCCACAGTATAAAGGGAGGACTTGTAGTTTTGTGGAGTGCGTGCAAAAGATTTCAGGAAGCAAAGATGTAATGACAGAGGAAGCTGCCTGATATTAAAATCAAACAGTTTGTCCACCTAGTCCAGTGCTGTCAACAGGGATTGAGAGTATCTGTCCAGGTTTGAAACAGAGGTTGAAACTGAACCTTCTATAAGCAAAACATGAGCCTCACCATTGAGCTATGACCCTTTCCCATGACCACAGAGCTGCTGCCACTGAAACAAGATAACACTGCTCTGTCATACATTCCCTTAAACTATCTCTAACTATTCCTTAATCAAACCTATAAGTACAGACTAGGCCTCTAGAAAGCCAAGTACTTACACTCCTTGCTGTGAGAAGGAATTGATTACAGTGGCCTTCCTTTTCTCTTTCTATAGTGCAGTTACCATTCTAAGACAGGGATAGGCAACCATGGTCCTTGAAATGTTATTGGACTCATCATTGAGTCCATAATTTCTCACCATTGACTATGCTTGCTAAGAATGATAGAAGTTGCAGTCTAATGTCACATGAAGGAGCATAAGCAACTCATGTAAAAAGAGCTACTATAGACATATTTAGGCTATATATTTGTGTTATGGGAATTCCAAGAGTACAGTAGTGCCCTGCTAGACACTTACCCCGCATGATGTCAAAATCGCTTGACGATGACTTTTTTGCGATTGCAAAACGATGTTTCCTATGGGGGATTTTCGTTTAAAAATGATTAGGTCCGTGCTTCGCGAACCGATTGTTCTCAAGACAACGATTTAAAACAGCTGATCGGCGATTCGCAAAATGGCTTCCTGCTGTTTTCCAGACCAATTTTCACAAGACAGCGATCGCAAAATGATCGCCCTATGGAGGATCTTCACAGGACGATCAGGTATTTCCCCCATTGGAACCATTAACCGGTTTTCAGTGCATTCCAATGGGTTTTCCCCCCGCTGTACAGCGATTTTAATGGAATGGATTATCGTCATCATGCGGGGCACCACTGTATTTCTAAAATAGCAGATTTATGGCCAGGCAGAAAACCTTAGATTCTTCTTCTTGGCCTCTGTGAATGCACACTAGAAAACCTTAGATTCTTCTTCATGGCCTCTGTGAATGCATACAAATGGGTTGTTCTGCACCTGCGTAGGATGTCTTGGAAGTTTCTAGAGCTTAAAAACATGGGCGGAGCATGTGCTCCCCATGGAACACATGCTCCGCCCACCCAAGGTCTTCTTAGTTCCTTTTAGCCTCCGCATAGGTTAGACCTATATTGGACCGCTAGAGCAACTTCTTTCAAATAGGTACTCTGTACCTTACCCTTTTTTCTCATCTACCTTTCCGTTTTCAATTGACATTTTCCCATGAGTTATTTTTCTTTTACCCGTTGAGTTTTATTCCTTTTTGTTCGCTCCTTCAGAGGACCACTCAAAGAACCATGGTTACAGGCAGGTGACCTCTCTTTTCTCCTTGGCTCAAGGTCATCGTACTGTGATCTCCTACCCTTCTCCGTTTAATGCTGCTGTCACCATATTAGCAACTCTTCCATTCTGCCCTCGTGTTTTAGCCGGTGTGGTAGGCGTTGCAGAAAAAGCTGGGGCTTAGTACTCTCCATTTATCTCACAGGACTGGGCTGCCCAGCGCTGCACAATCTCATACAGAGCACCAGAGTTGTTTACCGTTGAACGTGAATGTGTTATTGATGAACGTACTGACATCTGGGTAAGAGTCACTAGTAATGCTTATTCTAAAAATGTATCTGTTACTTTTGTAGACATATACAGTGTAATTCCTCTGATGAATTCCTGTGCAGGGAAGTCCTAAGCATAGGACTCTACTACATATACTCACCTTGCTTCTGCTTAGTCCTTAGGCTGTGTTCTATACTGCATGATGTTTGGTGAAGGGCCTTATGACATGATCTTCCAGAAAGGGGACAGTGTGGCCTTGGCTGTACAGAATGATCTTACCGTGCCTGAGAACACTAGGTAAGGAGTTGCTGGGTGGTTAAAAAAAAAGATTGTGGCTGCCCTTGATCCAAGCAAGAAACATAGGCAGTTTCTCTGTTATAGGTACTCACCTGCCTTGAAGCGTCTCCTCTCCTCTGCAATGGTGGTGAATCCCCAGGAGCGCCCATACATCACTGACATTATTTGCCAGCTAGAAGATATACAGCCACCACCAAGTGGACAGGATACCACCCGTATCTGAACGTGCAGAGTGGCTACTAAAGATAGTCAGCAGAGTGGCTGAAGCCCAAACAGGGCCCGAAGAGCTTAATACAAAGACTTGAGAAGGCTTTGCCATGTTTCTGATCTGTGCCTGCCTTCTTCTGGAATTGCCCCACAGTGGGGCCCTTGACTTGACAAAAAAAACCGGCGCTGCTGCTTGGACTTCCTTTGCAGCCGTCATTCTCACCTGTGCCCTCGCATGCACCCCAGGAATCTTACTGGGCCTCACCTATTCTGTTGGCTGCTGCCTCAGCTAAGCAGCATTCTGTTGCAAGGGACCCAAGATACCTCAGCAATAAGGAGGTAAGATTCCCCAGGTTTTTGTACACAAGTACAGCTTCAGCTAAGTATCAAGGAGCAGGTGCCCTATTTATTTTGATAAAGGCATAACCTCACTGCCTGTGTGCTGAATAAAGTTTTCACAATACAGCTGTATCAGTAACTTAAGCATGGCTTGCAAACAACTTGAGGGATGGGATGGGTGGCCTCGTGGTGAAACTCTGGGATCTATAGGCCAAAGAAATAACTTATCCAGACTTGGGGCAAGAAATGTGATGATGCAACCTGTTCCCCTGCCATTAATTTCACGAGGGACCGCCTCACAATCTGGATCTAGCTTCTTTACTGTGCAGTTGCTGGTTTTGTATAATTTGTGCCAGACCGGCTTATTTTTCACAGGCAAAGAGCTGAGTCAGGCAGGAAATTACATTTAGTCTTCTCATGAATGGTGATGCAGCAATCACACTAGAGTCTTATGGAACCTTCCAATTTTTTTATTTTTTTGTGGTATAAACTTTCATGGACTAGAACCTACTGATCAAATACAAGATTTAATTGGCTTTTTGAGTTGTTGTTTCGACTTATGTTGTAGTTGTTGTTTAGTTGTTAAGTCGTGTCTGACTCTTCGTGGCCCCATTGACCAGAGCACGCCAGACCCTCCAGTCTTCCACTGCCTCCTGGAGTTTGGTCCAATTCATGTTGGTAGCTTTGATGACACTGTCCGTCCATCTCATCCTCTGTCGTCCCCTTCTCCACTTGCCTTCACATTTTTCCAACATCAGGATCTTTTCCAGGGAGTCTTCTCTTCTCATGAGATGGCCAAAGTATTGGAGCCTCAGCTTCAGATCTGTCCTTCCAAGGAGCACTCGGGGTTGATTTCCTTCAGAATAGATAGGTTTGTTCTCTTTGCAGTTCAGGGGACTCTCAAGAGTCTCCTCCAGCACCACAATTTAAAAGCCTTCTTTATGGTCCAGCTCTCACTTCCATACATCACTACTGGCAAAACCACAGCTTTGACTATGCGGATATCTGTCGGCAAGGTGATGGATGTCCCTGCTTTTTAAGATGCTGTCTAGTTTTGTCATCGCTTTCCTCCCAAGAAGCAGCCGTCTTTTAATTATGTGGCTGCTGTCTCCATCTGCAGCCCAAGAAGGTAAAATCTGTCACTGCCTCCATATCTTCCCTTTCTATTTGCCAGGAGCTGATGGGATCAGTGGCCATGATCTTAGTTTTTTTAATGTTGAGCTTCAGACTATTTTTGGCGCTCTCCTCTTTCACCCTCATTAAGAGGTTCTTTAATTCCTCCTCACTTTCTGCCATCAGAGTGGTATCATCTGCATATCTGAGGTTGTTGAGATTTCTTCTGGCAATCTTAATTCCAGTTTGGGATTCATCCAGTCCGGCCTTTCGCATGATGTATTCTGCATATAAGTTAAATAAGCAGGGGGACAATATACAGCTTTGTCATACT